AGTGAAAAGTCCCCATATGGTGGAGAATGGCCAGCGACTTCCTAGGGACAATATTACTTGGTATGAGTTTGAAGTTATTTCCTGCTATGTTGTGATTGACTTTCATTTCCTCCAAACCTCCACATAACTCAGCTATCTTTGGGTGGTGTGCAGTAGCGGCATTTTGCGCAGATGTAAGAAGAAGAGAGACAGTCATGTTGAAAGGCTGCAGCTGCCCAAGAAGGTGAAATACATGGGATAAACAGGAAAAACAGAGTGAGAGGTGACCAGGAGAAACGGAACCCCCTGAGGCTCCTTGGAGATCTTGGAAGAGCCTCTGGATTTCTCTTGGTTTGTGGGATGGAGTCGTTAGCATTTTATTTAGATATTAAAGGGAAAGATTAAACTGTGCATGCTGGAGGGCCTGGGGTCACCTGGGTAGCAAATATAAACTGAAAAGTGAGCAAGGACATATGTACGGGCAGGTCCTTAGCAGCATTTTTTTTTTTAAATACTAATAAAGATTGGGAGACAGCTTGGATGTCTGACAGTGAGAGAGTGATTAAGTAGGTTAATAATGCTTCTTTTTAATGGAGACAATAGAAATGATGACAAGGGCACATATTTGTTGAATGAGAGAAGCGGGTTTCAAAACAGCATGCTTAATGGGATCCTACTTATGTAGGTAATATGTGCATATCTATATGTGTGCAAGAAGAAACATTAAAACCATATTAACTAATGTATTTATGGCTTCCCTGCTGGTTTAGTGGTAAAGAAGCTGCCTGAAATGCAGGAGATGCAGATAACGTGGGTTCAATCCCTGGGTAGGGAATACCCCTGGAGGAGGAAATGGCAACCCACTCCAGTATTCTTGCCTGCAGAATCCCATGGACAGAGGAACCTAGCAGGCTACAGTCTATGGGATCACAAAAGAGTCAGACGTGACTGAGAAACTAAACACAGTACAGTACACGGTACAACCAATATATGTGAAATGTGGTACCTGAGTGGTGCAATTATGGGTGACTTTTTTTTTCTCCTTTGTACTTGTCTGTATTTTCTTTTTTTTTTTTTCCATTTATTTTTAGTAGTTGGAGGCTAATTACTTTACATCATTACAGTAGTTTTTGTCATACATTGAAATGAATTAGCCATGGATTTACATGTATTCCCCATCCCAGTCCCCCCTCCCACCTCCCTCTCCACCCGATCCCTCTGGGTCTTCCCAGTGCACCAGGCCC